ACTGTGTATTAGAGCAACAATAAGTTGAACGACAGTGAAATTACATTGCGTTGAAATGTGTTATAATTTTTATTCGAATTATTCTTCACAAATGAATTACTGCTGTTCATCTTGACAGCACTAATAAACACTGAAAACCTGTTCACTGAAGCGCTCTTCCTCCTCCTGAGGTGAATATGAAACCTGACAACCTGCATCAACAGGTCAGGTGAGTGAAGTCCGGTTCACGCTTTCATTGACAGAGAAGAGGTCCTAATCACGCAGACGCACAGACAGACCAAGACAGACGCAGGACACCGTCTCTGAACACCAATCTCTCTTATCAGCAGTCCAACAGACCAGCCTGGAAAATATTTCATTCTTCAGCTGTCAGTCTTCCTCCCTCTCTGCTGCTCCATCATTTATTGTTCTCTTTCTCTCCTCACTTCACTTCAAACCTTCTAATCCCTCAAAACCTTTTCCCTCCGATTCAAATACTTAAATCAACTGAGCTGAAGTGAAAGCCGTCCCTCCACCTCCTTGTGCTCTGTTTGGGGCTGAAACATCATTTACTGCTGTTCTTCTTTACTGAAAAATATTTACACTAACAGCATTCCTCAGGTCGGGGATCTGAACTATCATCGGAAGCACTGACAGTACTATTAAGATGCTGGTTTAGATACGTGAGCGGATGAACCCGATAGGACATGCAGCTAAATACTGGACTGTCATGAAGATTAGACAAAAATAAATACGTAAATAAATAAAAGGAACAGATCAGGAAATCTCTTCAATTTCTGTTCCAAACATCAGGGTGAGTTTTTCTCAGAGAGTATGAAAAATCTAAACAGAGTAGAATATTTTTGTGAAACTGCTAATTTAGAAAAGGTCTGATGAAAATGTTCACACGGTGAAACAATCGAGTACTTACAAATATTTCAGGTAAAGTGGTGTATTTGTGAAAGCCCGTCCTAATAGTCGCCTTAAGAAGTTTTTGTCTGTACTTAAAAAAAAAATAAATCGCTCTGCTATCCTTTCGACTTGGACTAAAGGAAAGGTCAGTAAAGTCAGGTGCATTCTTGAGTTTTCAGTAAGCAGAGCTCACACACACACAGGAACAGAAAGGTCAGCTGCTCCCTCAGGTTCCTCCGTCTCCAGCTGTGATCACAGCTCACACCTTCTGCCCACGCCGTGTGATTCTTCTCCTTCACCTCGTCTTCTTTTCAATCTTCCTCTTCCTCAGCAGTTTCTGATCACTTCATCTGCGTCCCTGCTGTCTGACGTCCACTTCTATTTAACTTGCTGCTGAAACACATCAAAAGTCAGATCAATGCAGTTTAATGTCGCGGAGGCATCCTCTCAGGCTGAGAGAAGGTCAGTGTGTAAATACCAGCACTTCGCACAGACACTGTCTGCTGATACAGTATCAACACCAACAGACGGAGAGATAATCAGTTTGATTCAACTTCAGCTGTCAGTGGTCATCACGGCTGATTGGTGTAAATTCATCAACATTCATCAGATTTTCTTTCCCTTCCACTCATGTATTAGACATCGTTTTCAGTCAACTCATCTGTATTATTTACATGTCCATTAGGAAAAGGAAAATACACAGCAGCTGCATCTGGAATCTAGAAATGATATGTCATCTACATGTAAGGCCGACCGTTCAGAGCAGAGCCATGTGGATGATCAAGGCCTCAAATCCGGAGATCCCAGCAGGCCGCGGGACTGACTGCTGGGATCAC